CATGTGCACTTGAGAAAAATATGTAACTATAGGTTTTGGATGAAATGCTCTGTAAACTTGTCTAATGTGGGATTTAAGACTATTATTTCATTATTTTTCTGTCTGAATGATCTACCCATTGAAGTATTCAAGTCCCCAACAATTATAATATTACTGTTAATTTCTGCCTTTATGTCCATTTACATTGGCTTCGTATGTGTACTTGAGTGCTCCTGGGTTGGGTACGTAGATATTTACAACTGTTATACCCTCTTCTTCTATTGAATTATATAATGTCCTTCTTTGACTCTTTTACAATCTGTTTTGAAGTCTATTTTGGATGATATGAGTATTGCTGCCCCAGGAATCTTTTCATTTCTATTTGCACAAAATCTTTCTTCATCCCTTCACTTTCAGTCTATGTGTCTTTTGATCAGAAGTTTCTTCTAAGCAGCATATTGTTGGGTCATGTTTTTTATCCATTCTGCCACCCTGTCTCTTCACTGAAGAATTTAGTCCATTTACATTTAGGGTAATTATTGATATATATATGTTTATTGCCATTATATTAACTGTTTTGGGTTGTTTTTGTGTTCTTCGCTCTTTCTCCTTCTCTTCATCTCTTTCCTTTTGATTTGTTGGTTTCCTTTAGTGTTTTGATTAGATTTTTTTCTCTTCATTTCTTTCTGTATTTTTTCTATGGTTTTGGCTTATGCTTACCATAAAGTCCATATATATCCATCTATATCTATAGCAGTCTATTTAAAGCTGATAGGCATTTAAGTTCAATCACATTCTAAAAGCACAACATTTTGCCCGGCTGGGCATGGCTCGGCGATTGAGCACCGACCTAGGATCCAGGAGATTGAGGTTCGATTCCTGGTCAGGGCACATGCCCAGGCTGCAGGCTCGATCCTCAATGACTCTCTCATCATTTATGTTTCTGTCTGTCTCTCTCCATCTCCTTTCCTCTCTCTGAAATCAATAAAGATATACTTTAAATAAATAAAAAAATAAAAGCACAACATTTTGCCTGGCCAGTGTGGCTCAGTTGGTTGAGTATTGTCCCATGCAACAGGTAGTTCCCAGTTCCACTCCCAGTCAGGGCACATGCTCAGGATTTCGGGCTCAATCCTCGATGGATGTTTCTCTCCCTCTCCCTTTCTCTCTCTCAAATCAATAAAAACATATTTTAAAAACATAATAAAAATAAAAGCACTACATTTTTTCACTCCCCCAATCTTTATTTTTTACATCACGTTTAATGTCTTTTTGTTTCTCTATCTCCTTATTTACTGTAGTTAATTTTACTACTATTGTCTTTTAACCTTCCTATTAACTTTTTAAGTGATTGATTCATCATGATTCTTGTATATTTGCCTTTAACAATAAGATTTTTTTCCACTTTCCTGTATTTTCTTATTTCTGGTTATGGCCTTTTCTTTTCTACATAAAGACCCATTAACATTTCTTGTAAGGCAGTTTAGCAGTGGTGAATGGTGGTGAACTCCTTTAGTTTTTGCTAAATCTGGGAAACTATTTCTCCCTCAATTCTAAATGATAACCTTGCTGGATAAAGTATTTGTAGATTCCTTTCTTTGAGCACTTTAAATATGTCTGACTTATTTTTTCATTCTTGCTGCCTTTAAGATCAACTCTTTATCCTTAACTTTTGCCATTTTAATTATAAAATGTCTTGGTATGGGTCTCTGGATTCATCTTGTTTGGCACTCTCTGTGTTTCCTGGACCTGGATGTACACTGCCTTCCTTAGATTAGGGAAGTTTTCAGATATTATTTCTTCAAATACTTTCTGTTCCTTTCTCTTTCTCTTCTGCTAGAATCCCTATAATACAAACGTTAGGATGCTTTACGTTATCCCAGATATCTCTTATACTATCTTCATTATTTGAAGGATGTAAGACAGTTTAGCAGTGGTGAATGGTGAATTCTTTATCAAGCAAATTATCTTTGTTTTATTAGGGTTTTTCTCTAGGGTTTTTCCTTGTTCCTTCATTTGGGGCATAGTCTTCTGTCCATCTTGTCTGATTTTCTGAGTTGGACCAGTCTTAAAAGAGAGGTTTCTGAGTAGACGAAGTGTTGCATAGTTTTGGCAGGCTGCTTGTAGGAATGCCTGGTGTGTCACCTGGTCTTAAGGGGTGCGATTGGGTGGGGGTGGCCTGGTGTATGCTTGCTTTTTTGCCCTTCTAATATGAGTGGGGTTGCCTGACACACACTGGGCTGCTCCATGTGCTCTTGGAGTGCCCTATCACATTAACTGTCTATGATTCCAGCTGGGTCTGGGCAGGGTTGCTTTGCAAGCTTGTTTCTCAAGGCTCCATCAGCTCCTCCCCTCTCCTGTTGGGGCAGGCCTACCTGTGTGCCCACAACTCAGCACTTTGCTAGTTCTGCTCCCTTTCCAGGCAGTCCAACAGCCTACACACTGGGCTACTCCCCACTCACTCCACAGGCAGACCTGGGGGCTTGCCAGTTGCTTAAATTATCCACAGTCAGGGAAGGGTCTAGGCAAAACCACTCTGTATGCCTGCATCTCAACACCCTACTAGCTTGCACTGCCCCTTCTCTGACTGAGGCAGACTTGCAGGAGCAAACACAGCAGTATTTTGCTAGTTCTGCCCCTCTGTCAGTGGTGCAGCAACTCATGAGCTCAGCCAGGCTCCTCACACTACCCCAAGCAGGCCTGAGTGCCCTGTTGCTTTGTCTGCAGTTGGAGTAAGGTCTGAGCGGAGCTGCCCTGCACAGCTTCCTAGCTCCACCGTTTCTCCACATGGGGCATCTTTACGTGTGCACACAGCCATATTTTGGTAGTTCTGAACTCTCTCCTGGCTGGGAAGGGGGTGGTGATACTCCTGCACATAGGATACTCCTATCCACAGGTCTGCCCTGCTTGCATGGCCTGCAGCTTTAATTGTCCACAGTCAGAGTAGGGTCTGGATAGGGCTAGTCTGCATGCCTGCCCAGCTCCACCCTTTTCCCAGGTGGGGCAGCCTTAAATGTGCTCACTCTGTGGGCGGGGGCAGGAGCTCCTGCACAGGTGTGCACCCAGCAGCACCCCACTCACTCAGGATGGGGCAGCCCAGAGTGTGGGTACCACAGTGTCTTTCTAACTCCCCACTTTTTTCGGGTTGGGCAGCCACACTTATGCATGTGGCAGCGCTTCACTGTCTACACACTTTCTCTGGACTGGGCAGTCCTGCATGCAGTAGTGCATTTTGTTAGCTCCCTACTGTTTCAAGGAGGGAAAGCTCCATATGAATCCACAGTAGCACCCCACGGTATCCACACTTTCCCTGGACAGGATAGCCGAGGGCAGGTACTGCAGTGTTTGTTAGCTCCACTCTCCCCTCAGGCAGGGGAGCCCATTACGTGCATAGCTCAGCGAGAGCAGGACGCTGCACCCTGTTGCACTGGCTGGATGAACCTCCAAAAGGGGACCTTTTTACACACACTATGGTGCTCTCCTATTTCTACTGGATCTAGGTCCAGTATGGGTGGCTGGGGACTTGCTACAGCACCATGCAAGTCGGCCAAAAAGCCTGGATGGAGCACCCACCTGCTATCTAGGTTCAGGGGAATCATAAATAATAACGCTCTACAGTTCCTCTGGCCCTGGTTTGTTCCCTCAGCTCTTGGAGGACTCTTGTGGTTCACCGACCTTCTCTATGTAGACACTCACTCTTGCTTGTTGTGCAGAGGCTGTTCAGTTGGCTCACAACTGTCTCTCAGGAGGATTTGCTCTAAACACAGGTGTGCATGTGATGTATTCTTGCAAAGGAGCAAGCTCAGTGTCCACCTACGCCATGATCTTGGACCCACTCCTGGAGTTGATTTTTTTAAAATGTGTTTTTATTGATTTTTGAGAGAGAGAGGAAAGGAGAGGGGGAAAGGAAGAGAGAGAAACATTGATTGGTTGCCTCTCATACACACCCCAACCAGGGATGGAACCTGCAACCTGGGTATGTGCCCTGACCAGGAATCGAACCAGCCACCTTGTGGTGCATGGGACAATGCTCAATCAACTGAGCTACACCAGCAAAGCCAGAGTTGACTTTTGTAGCAGCTAATTAATTTCTTTTATCTACGCCTTGTTGGGACTGAATAAATAATCCTCATGTTTTTGCAGTTTCTAACAATGAACTGCATGTGTTCATCTATTTACTAACTTACTCATGGGCAATACTGACAGATCCCATATATGCCCACTGTGTTGGGACTTGTAGGGCTCTAGTGTATACCAAGATCATAAATTTGTTCAGGCTGACATGAAAAAAAATTTCTCAAAATTATAAACTAAGAATTCAAATCATTTACATACACAGGAACATATTCTGAATCTTGGTGATCATGAGCTAACCCTTAAAACTATATACTGCACTAGAGGTGAGCATTTTATTAATCATAATGCTGTAGCACTTTATCAACATTTTCATGAAAATTACTTTCTTCTCTAAATTCCCCCCATAGCACTAAGATGAAAACAGCACATAGGTGGGAAAGAACATAATAAAACTTCTTATGAAAAGGTGGCCTCAACATTCATGGCAGCCATGGAAGTGTGTTTGAATCTTAATATTATTAATTAAAATAACTTTGAATTCTTATATATAACTTTTCTAAATGTTCAGTTAACACCTGATTATGTCTTTATTAAACTAGTCCTCTAAATGCTGAAATGCCCAAAGATATATACAAAAGGTACTATAAACTCTTCCCCAGCATATAAAACCTGTTTTCACCATTAATCACCAGTCATTCCTTCAGGTATTCTATTAACAATAAAAGTAACCAAAAGTCTTTGGCATTGAATAGTAAATATTACTATTCTGCCTGGGCAGATTTTATGCCTAAATTTTAAAAATCTTTTTAAAACCTCAAACCTAAACTGATCTTGTCTTTATTTATCTGAAGCAGTCTGTTTTCATCTCACATACACACACAAAAGTACTTCAGTTAGCATAAATTCAACATTTATTTAATAACCAAAAAGTAACTGTCACCTACCTGTAGTACCGAGATTGTAGATATGTTGAACAAACAGTCTTTGATACATGACTGGCCGACCCAAAGTCTATTACTTTAACCCTGTAAGGCTGCCGAACAGGATCCACCAACATAATATTCTCTGGTTTGAGATCAGCATGAATTAAACCAAGACTTTTCAATTTTTTCAGTGCAGTGGCCACTTGTTGAAGAATGGGTCGAATGACTTTTAGTGGCAGGGGACTGAATTTATTTTGTTTCAGAAAGTCATACAAATTTTGTTCCAGCATCTCAAAGACTAAACAAGTATGGTTACGGTGCTGAAAGCATTCATAAGCTCGTACAAAATTATACTCATCAGCATTTTCAGTACTGAGTCTTGCTAATATGCTCACTTCTATTTGACCTTGACGTGCATAAGAAGGATGATTCTTCAAAATTTTGATTGCTACAATTTCATTTGTCCCTCTTTTCCAGCATTTGACTACCTGGCCAAAAGTGCCTCGACCAAGAAAATCAAGGACTTCGTAAGTATTTTTCATGGAGCATAAGACTTCATGCTGTACTAACTGATAGTCACCTTCTCCAGTGGTGCAATTCTGTTTTGTTCCTGTGGTAGTTGTCACAACTGTCACTGGATTCCCCATGTTGGTTTGCAACATTGCAGGAAGTATGGACAATTCATCGACAATCTGCATTGCGCTATGATTATCCAACTCCTCACTCTTGCGCTTCAATCCACATCGCTGAGGGCCTCCTAGGAAATGTAACCTATGTCTCCACGCCCCAATCTGAGGTGCCTCCACTTGAGCTTGCTGCGCCTGAGCTGCTATTACCTTTGTAGCACCCGCAGTGTTTTTTAAAACAACAGCACTTGTCTGCAACGAAAAGTTGTGTCCTCGAGGTCTGTTAAATGCTATCTTTGTCTGAAAAGCACTACCCTTTGTGAGAGGATGAGGATTTCCAACGTTTCTACCATTCACGTAGGTCCGTGGGTAGTTTCTTTCCTGGAATACACAACTGCTTGGCTCTACTTTGAGTTTCTTCACACTACAAAAGGCACTTGACTGAGTTTGATAAACATATGGTGGGTAGACCAAAACTTGTGAGGCCATACCTGCAAAAGAAAGAGCAAAACGACATATTAATTAAATCTCATGAAGAAAACTTTTAAGGGTCAAATCCATAATTCATAAAAATAATTCTAATTCCATGAAGATTTTTTCCCTTGGAGAAGATAAGCATTTTCAGTATCTCTACTTTAGTTAATGCTTCAGCTGCTTTGAATGTTGCATAAAAGTCACTCCTATACCGGCACCCATAAAAATAGATTCAAAAAGACAGATAACAAAACTCACAGGTAAGAATTTCTAAGCCCTCGCCGGGTGGCTCAGTTAGTTAGAGTGCTGTGCTGTATACCAAAAGGTTGTGGGTTCAATTCCCGGTCAGGGCATATGGCCAGGTTGTGGGCTCCATCCCCTGCTAGAGGCAGCCAATCGCTGTTTCTCACATCAATATTTCTCTCTCTCCCCCTCTCCCTGCCTCTCTCTCTCTCAAATCAATGAAAATATACATTTTTAGCATTAAGTTATAACATAAGATACAAATATGAAAATATGATCAGCACTGAAGATTTATAAAGACCTACAAGAAGAAATAAGGATTATCACAGGGAATATTTTCACTCAACTAGAAATAAGCGAACAGCTACATTAATTCAAAGTAAAACTTTGATTCTATTTACATAAAAACCTTCATTCAGATTTCTTTTCTGTACACACCTATCAACTATGCTTCCAGGATATATTAAAAATAAGTAGACACAGGTGCAGTTCACTATCAAAAGTGAACATTTTACCATTCTTTAAAAGGAAACAGAATGGAACAGGAAATGAAAAATACAGGTAAGATTGCTATATCAGGTAAAATGTACCAATGCTTCTTTAATCTGATGGCTTCAAAGCCAACAGAGCTAGAGGATCATGCTATGTGAAAAACGTAATGTTCTCCACAGTTATAGGAGTAGTACTAAGTTTACTAATGAAAGGATGTGTTTTTTCAGTCAAATTACACAAGTATAAATTATAGACTATAATTGACTTCAGCATGCTATGATCAGCACCAGAAACAAAAAGACTGAAAAACATTGGGTAAAAATCAGTGAGAAGAAAACACCACTGTGAGTGCGTGTGCACATGCTTCTTAATCTACTACCACTAGGTCCCCATCCTATTCTGGTCTTTACCTGGACTCAGTCATCTCTCAGAGCTGTCTCTTGAGTTTCCTCATCTAAATTAAACCCCAAGATCTGACCTGCCCATATCGACAAGGAGCTTTACACTCTATCCTCAAAATATCATTAATCTCCTTCTTTGATCTACTGTCTTGCTGATTACCTCCTACCACACAAACGCCCAATATTCTTTACTAAGTTCTAGTTTCTGTCCTTCTAGTAAAATAGATTCAAAATTAACACTTTTCTTATGTAATACAGAGGGTACTTTTAAAGATGCTTAGTAGCAAAAAGATCCAAAATTCTAAATCTGATTTCAGTGGCTCTCAATCTTTTTCCTGACACATCTCAGGTATGATGAACTATGAAGAAGTGAAGCACTTTATTTAGGGAGGTAATATTCAAGAGCAATACTACTGTCAGAGAAGTAACCCATGTTAGAGAAGGTGGTCTTCACCAAAGCAATTTATGTACATAGCAAATGAATAATTAATTCAATCATACCAGGAAAGGGCTTTTCACATCACCGCCATGACTTTTAACACTGCAGAATACCTTTTTGAAAATAAAAGGGCCAACCTATTTCACGTAGCTAAGGGAACCAAAGAGAAATTATGCTGTTCCTAAACTACTTTTGAATTCCTCACAAAGCCTATCAGAGTTAAATAAAAAAGCCTCAAACTATTCTATTGCCTCACATCTTTTCAAACTTATTTTTTATAGGAAACTACAACATCAGTTTTACCACAAATCTAATTTTTATACAAATGACTACATCTTAGTTTCACGAGGTCTGACAAAGAGATTTTAAAGAAAGTATAAAGAAGTCTTCATGGTATACCAATACTGTCTATAGTCTAGTTTCATGCAAATAATAATTATTCTAGTTTGGTTTATCCATAGAGTTAAAGATTTCGCTTTCATGAGTATACTTAGGAAGAAAAGGTTCCACTTCTCCCATTTTAAAAATATTCTCAGACACATGAATATCTTTAGGCACAAAGAATATTAAGACAACAATAAAGTTTCATTCAGAATCATTTTTATATTTGTACCTGGATATCAAAGCAGAACTTCACTTCTGTTTCAACTGAAAATTTGTCAACATTTTATAGAGGCATAAAGGGACATTTTTCTTAAGAACTTTAAAACCGTTAAAATATCAAATACAAAGAACAGTAAAAACACCACTATTTCAATTATACGGTGACTGATGAAAGCAATAAATTACACAACTAAGTATTTGTTATCATAATGCCAATTATGAACATTTTATCTCAGGTTATCTCAAATATATTTTAATTAAATTAATATCAATTTGTTGCATGTAGTTTCCAAAATCGAGTAACAGCCTCTGAAAGAATTATTGTCACATCACAAATTGAAACCGTTAGCTAAAAGCTGTATTTATCTAGGCTGAAGTTTAAACTTCTACTAATTGACTTAATTTTCAATTTATTTTTCAAATGATAAATGAGCTAGTAATCTATGAAAGTTATATACTAAATTCACTTTTTAAATGTCTTATAGCTATATCTACTGTGAATATTATCAAATAATGTTTTAATGTTATTATTTTTTTTAAATCCTCACCCAAGGATATTTTTTCCATTGCTTTTCAGAGAGAGTGGAAGGGAGAAACAGAGAGAGAAACATCAATGTGAGAAAGACACATCAACTGGTTGCCTCCCACATGCACCCCCGAACCGGGGCCGGGGATGGAGCGTGCAATGGAGGTACATGCCTTTGCCTGGGATAGAATCCGGGCCCCTTCAGTCCGCGGGCCAACCCTCTAACCACTGAGCCAAGCCAGTCAGGGCTTAATATTATTTTAATTCTACTTTTATCATACTTATCCCTGACAACAGATGGCTGGCCTAGTTCTCGAAGAGTTACCAGTCTGAAGTTTAAATATTCAATCACTTGAAAGAAAACAAAGTTTAGGTTCCTCCGCTAGTACTCAAACTTTAATTTGTGACAACAAAACACACATGAACCTATCAGTGTTTTTTCTGATGGCAAAAAATGGACCATATTTTGTGGAAGAACTGCTAAACTGTTTTATGAATCATTTTCATTTGTAAATTCAAATTTTGGTGTACTATTTTTTTAAATAAGTCAATTTAGCTAAAATTTAATCACTCCTGCATATCTGTACACTTTAAGATGTACAAACTACAAAGGTAAAGCAGTTTATAACTCCTTTATATTTTGCATCTACTGTATTTTGTAGCTGCTTCACTAAGATATGGTTATCCACCTCACCCTACCCCATCCAAAAAGTTCTGCAAAGCTTTGCTTTAAAAAAAAAAATCTTTCTCCAGTTAGTGATTTCTCAGATTTTATCATATAGTGACCACCTGTGAATTTATCATAAGTTTACAATGCTATATTTGTCCCTCAACACATTTAAACAGTTTCACACCTACATGCTCTAATTATTCTCCAACTAAAATGCTAAAATTTCCTTCAAGATGATAAATACCAAGAAGGGGGGAAAATCTTCAATTATACATATTTCTCCCTTTCCATTCCAAAGACTTAAAAAAGAAAGAAATTGAGTATAAATATCTCATATCACAAAGCATACCCTGGTCAGCCTATACAGATGATTTATATTTTTTAACCCCTTTCAGTTTAAAATTACTGTTACATTTTTAACAAATCACAAACCTCTAAAATAAGAAATATTTTCTTTTTTAATTGCCAATAGTTTTTATTATATATAGAAGTAAAGTACTCAAAGCAAAGCACAAATTTACCACTATATAAAGTACAAAGTAAAATGTATAATATACTTAAATATATGAAATATGCAAATATGCTATCTAGATAGGTAGATAAATATATTCCTTTTCCTAAAAGCTTCAAATTACTTAAGATGCCTGATAGCTGGAAGAATCTCATTTTCTTCCTTTAAAAAAATATTTATAAGGTAGAGTTGGTAAGCTACCTGCTTCAGCTTCCGATTTGTCTTCTCTAATTAGAAAACTCTCCCTCAGGCCCCCCTGGAGTCCCCAGTACTGTTAACTCCAGCCCACGAGCACAATCTATTTTGCTTTATGGGGAATGGATCTCCTATAGCACAGACATCCGAGTAAAAATTCCACAAGAAAGCTTTTCTTTTAACAAGATACAAACGGACAAATTCTAAGAGAAAAGATTGGAAATTCTGACTTATATGGAGAAGATGTTGGCAATACATATAACTGACAAAAGATCTAAAGAAACCACACTGCTTGGCAAAACTCAGTAGAAAAATGGGTAAATGATATAAGCAGGCAATTTACAAGAAAGGAAATACGGGCCAAAAGACTTATTAAAAGAAAATTCTCAGCCTCACTAGTAATAAAGAAAATAGTAATTAAAACTATAGTAAGATGGCATTTTAGACCCATCAGACTGACAAAAAGGGGGGTAATACCCGATGTTGAAGAGGAGCGAGGCAATGGAGACTCTTACGCACCAAGGTAAGCAGTACAAACACTGTAGAGAGCCAGTCTGGGAACCGCCATAATCTAGCAGTTCTCCTCTCAGGTACACTTTCTGCCTAGACACTTTCGCACATAGGTACAACAGAACAGGCAAAATAATGTTCACTGCTACATTGTATGTAGTTACAAAATTTTGAAATAACCTAACTGTCACAAAAGGAATGGGTAAGTTGTGGCTTTTTCACACAACACACACAATACAACTGTTTTAATACCACAATCATCATATATTTATTTATGTACCACAAAAAAGAAAAACTAAAAAAACCACCAATTGTAAGGGCAAAACATGGATTTAAAAATGTATCACAATTTCAAAGCAGTTAAAATGTGGGAAAAGCTGTGCATGTTAGAATTAATCATGTGCAGCAACATGAATTAACTAAAATGACACCTATCAACATGGATAAATCTCAAAACAACTATGTAGGAAAAAAATAAGTTCAGAAGAACATCTATCATTTTTTATAAAATTAACAGCAGGCAAATCTATACTGTGCTTTTATATATAGTGTGTGGTAAGGTATAAAAACATGCTTAGAAATGATAAAAATGCCAGAAAGAAAGAGAAAAAGAGACTTCAATGATATGTACTCTTATTTTGCACCCACCATGGCAGTTGCACAAAAATTACTTCTATTACTCTATACTTCCGTAGCCAAAATTTACATTATTTTTAAATGAAGGGGGGGAATCTACCAGATAATGGAACAACCTCTTTAATTGTATTTTTTAAATTTCAAAAATATAACGAACCATTTTAGATATTTTATTAGCATACTCAATTAGCCATACCCTATTTCATTCCATTTTTATTTCAATTTTTAAAATTTTCTTTCAGTTCAAATCAAGTAAAGACATTCAGGAGCAGGAAGAATTTAGCAATAAACAAACATTTTTTTTAATCAATGAGCTCTCAGCAAGAGGCAAAGATACGTACATATATAAGTACATCACTAATGAGGGAAGTAACATAAGGTTGCAGGTAGCAAAGAAAAGGGGATGATTCACATATGCCCTAAAAGAGCACAAAAGGATTCAGTAAGAAGTTAACCTATAAGCTAAATTTGGAGGTAGTGGGAAGAAGCCTGCTATATGCAGGAGAGTATATTCCATGCAGTACAAACCAATAGCGTATGTAAGGGCAGAGTCTAATGAAAAATACAGCGTACTGGCTACAACAGGGCCCACAAATTATGGTTGGTCAAATCTGACGCAGACTATTTTTATATGGCGCACAAGCTAAGAATGGTTTTTACATTTTTAAAGGGTTATTTTTTAAAAAAAGTATATAACAGAGACCACATGTGGCTTGCAAAGCCTAAATTATTTGCTATCTAGCCCTGTAAGAAAGCTTGTCAATATCCACACTAGAACAAAACTTGCCAGTGGAGAGGCCAGCTAGAGAAAAAGATGATCCTTGAGAAGACAGACAACCTTTAAAAGACAGATCGTAAAGAACCCTGTCTTCCAGGCTAAGGAGTCATAGGGGATGGGATGCCTCTGAAGGGTTTTAAACTAAAAAACAGAATCTTGTCTGTATTTTAAAAAGGTTACTCAGGCAAATCTGTGAAGGATAAACTGGAAGGAACAACAATGGAAACAGACGACTACTGTAATAGTCCAGGTAACAGCTGATGAGAGCCCGAGCAAAGACATACTAAGGGAAGGAGGTAGAAAGTGCTGATCACCAGCGGGTAGGTTGAGGGAAGAACCACAGAACTTGGTGAGGGATGAAGGAAGGAAGGAATTGACACAACCATGTTTTGGGCTTGAAACCCTAATCACCAAACAATAGAAAATGTTTCTGTAAAAAACGGGAGAATTTAGAGGAAAATTTGACCTCAATTTTAGACATGCTGAGTTAGAGGTGCCTTGTGACTTAGCCTGAGTACCCTTAAATGTAGAATCTTAAAGAAAGGCCTATATTCAGGGAGTTTACTTGGGAAGTTATCCCAGAGGGCAGGAGTGAGGGATCTGGGGAATAAGTCAGGAAAAAGAAAAAAAAGCAAGTAATAAATGTAAAGGAATGAATGAATTAGAAATTCACCACTTGGCAACAATCATAACTGATTCAAACAAGAACGATCAATGGATGCAAAAACTAATGGGTGGAAGTTTGAATAACAAAGCTTGTTGGGGGACAATTCACTTCGAGTCTCTCATGCTTCTCCATGTCTTACAAGCAGGGACACTGCCTTTGTTCTGGAGTCTCTTCTGAAGGATATTTGTATACTGAACAGCCTTGGAAGTAGAAATAGTGTTTTCCTCCTGAGCAAAGGGCAGGTTGTTTAATGTCCAGTATGATAAAGATAATGACTCCCTCTTGGGCAAATGTCAGGCAGGCTTACCTGCCCCTTATATAAGATTCCAGTTTCCTAAGCCTGGGTTCCTCTCCTATAATATGACTCCTTTTGTGCAGGAGTCACCTGGTCCTGCTCACATAACCTTATGGGAACAGAGTTGGGGAACCAGGCAAATACTGACAGACAGACTACTGCTATCACCATGAGTAAGAAGGTCCCTTATCTCTGACCCCCCCAAAAAAAGTCCTTTATCTCCTATCTTCTGCCAGCATCCATGGCTAATTTGTTATCTTGCAAGACCCTTCAGTTCTTGACATTTACACAGCTTCAAAGTACATCCCCATATAGTATGTATTAATCAAAAGGAAGAAACCAACAGATGCCGCCTTAACCAAATGATCGGTGTTAACATCAGGTGCCTCCTGATATGAGAACTAGCAGGAATACTCTTCACTGTGATATTTCCAAGCACAAGAAAAGAAAACAAACAAATCCAAATTGAGGGTCATTCTACAAAAAAAAAAAAAAAAGTGCTGTTCATCAAAATGTCAATGTCAGGAAACAACACAAAGACTGAGACACTTTTCAGATTACAAAAAACTAAAGAGACATAAAAACTTTTAGGAAAAAATTGGGTGAAACGATATCATGTCTGCAACTTACTCTCAAAAAGTTCAAGGGGGCCGGCCAGGCGTGGCTCAGCGGTTGAGCGTCGACCTAGGATCTAGGCGATCGGGGTTCGATTTCCGGTCAGGGCACATGCCCGGGTTGTGGGCTCAATCAATGACTCTCTCATCATTGATGTTTCTATCTCTGTCTCTCTCCCTTTCCTTTCCTCTCTCTGAAATCAATAAAGATATTTAAAAAAAAAAAAAAAAAAGTTCAAGGGGAAAAAGTAATACAATATAAAGAAAAAAGGTAAGTGCAAATGGGGTAAACTGTTAACATTTAAAGAATTTAGATTAAAGATAAAAAAGAATTCTTTGTACTATTTTGGTAACTTTTCTGTAGGTCTGAACTTTTGTCAAGTGATAAACAACAACAAAAGAATATGAGTGACAGGCATTAAACAATGTTTTTCTTGCACAAGACTGATCTCCAAGGGTTACACATTTGGGAATGAACTGCTGAGTATCTTAGACATGGCCCAGATCACCTAAAATCTAGAATGACCTGGCATACAATGAGTCCCTAGGATCATCTGCCAGCATTAATTAAAAAGTATTCATAAGCAGTGAAAGAAAATCTTTTCATTTAAAAGTATTACTTAATTCACAGTAGTTTTTAGAACTTTTAGTTATTATGTAATTTCTTCAATCAATAGAGACTAAAATTAGAATTTCACTATGTGGTCCAATAACTTTGACAATAAAAAGGCCTTTTCATTCTTGAAAAGAGAGAAAACCCCAGTACTAGTCTATACAGGGCTCTACAATAGAAATTAGAAAATGGAACTACATACCTAGTAAAAAGTAGTTTCTAGTCAAATTATTTTATTTCTAAATTTCTTTGTAATTTAAGTGCATATTTATAAAAGACAATAACATGTCTTCTTAGAACTAAAAGATAGAATACATGAGAAAATAAGTTTTTAGTGTGAAAAGTAAATGAGTTTAACTCTTCACTGGCCATTTAAATCTCATTATTTTAAATACCTATACCACTGACAGGTTGTTTTACCAGTATTCTATCCAGGAAATTACTTATACTAATACATTTCACATAAGAAACATTTTCACATAAATGAACCACCACATGCTGTAAAACTACATAAAATAAAACTGTCAATAAATAAATAAATAAAAATAAACCTGCAATCTGAGATGTCCACAAAACATTTATTTGAAAACACTAAAGTCTTGGGTATTTTCCAGCAGTATTGTGAACAAAGCATCTAGGGAATGTGTCGACTATAACACAAAATCAGCATGTTGAATAACAAGCTTCATCTGACTTAGCAAAAAATTCCAACTTTTGGAACAGAAAATGACCTGTTGGACATTTCAAAGCTGCTAGAAATCACCCTGCCAATATAAATCTTTATTTTAGAAAGGCTAGGAGTTAACTTAAAATAGTATTTAAGGACTATTCTTACTAAAGCATGTAATTCTCTAGATTTTTTCAAGCTATATAAATATCAAAACTCGGAAATGGAAATACTGACTGAAAAGCTGACAAAAAATATAAAGTTCACCTGAAGGACTCTCTTTCTTGAAGTAAACTTTAAACTTAACAATTCAAATCTGGTTTATAAAACTTAAGTACAAAAGAACATTTTGTTTCAATTCATCATACAATATTTATGGATACCAATTATTTAAACAGGAGGGGGAAAAACATGAGCATGACTGCTTTGAGACATTTCAAATAAAATAGGAAAGGGATGTTGCTTTCCTTGAAAGAGTAATGAAAACACTATGTGTACTGGTAGAAGTTCTGCTCAGAGGTAGAGGGTTGGAAATCTGGAGGAAGTTCATGCCTACTGACCTCTATGTGGGAAACAGACTCATCTGCTACAAGTAAAAGAGGTGAGGGGTAGAGTAGGTTTGGAGAAGTCAAATGTGTATATGACACATTCACAAGTGCCTGCCTGGTCAGGTACCTGTCAAGCTACTCAATAAAGATGCTATAGTTTGAATAAGGGATATAGGTAGAATACAACATGCCTGTATTTGATTACTTTTATAATAATAATATATTTGATTTCCCAGTGTCTATTAGGCACTTTAGGGATATAGAAATCTTTAAGACATCGTTTCTCACCTGAAGAAACAGTCCAGATACTATTTTATTTTCTTAAATGTAACCTTTCCCTAAAATGTAATACTGTTACCTTCTAATAGGTTATAAATTGAGGTATTTCATTTTCTTCCAATCAGAGTAAAGGGAAACAATTTCAAGATAAATACAACTTTAGATGTGAGACGCTTTAAAGAGATTCTGCAGGTTACAGAGTAACCACTAGAAACCCATTCAGAAATGCCATGCTAGGCTTTTAGACAGGGCAATTTACAAGGCAAACATTTCAACTATTTTCTACTCAAAAGCTATTGGTAAACTAATTGTGTTGCAGTCCTTAACACCCTAAATAAGTTTCCATAACAGAATTCTATTTTAAATATACATGTACAAAACATGAAAATGTAAACAAATTGTCAAATTTCATTTACAATATATCATACACAATTATAAGGGGAACACAATATACAATACTTGCCCTTTGTATACCTCTGCTTTAAGAACCCCAAGTTAATGTACTTCTGATTTACATATAATATACAAACAGTATCCCTTTTGTTTATTGCTTTCAAATAAGTTACAGCTAGCAATTTCAGTATTCTTTTTTTTTTTTTAAATATATCTTTATTGATTTCAGAGAGAGGAAAGGAGAGGGAGAGAGAGAGATAGAAACATCAATGATGAGTCACTGATCGAGCCCACAACCCGGGCATGTGCCCTGACCAGGAATCGAACCCCAATTGCCTGGATCCTAGGTCAACGCTCAACCGCTGAGCCACGCCCGGCCGGGCAATAATATAGTTTTAGAAAGGCAAACCTATTAGAATTTTCTCAGGCAATGCAAGATTTATGCCCAGAAGGAAAACAAGAGAACTGAATTATGAACTATATATGAGAAATATGACCTTTCCCTTATTTTTTTAAATTTTCATTTATTGATTTTTAGAGAGAGAGAGAAAGGAAGGGAGGTAGGGAGACAGGCAGGGATGGAGACAGGGAGAGGGGGAGATGGGGAGGGAGGGAAGGAGGGAGAGAAGAAGAGAGAGAGGGAAACATCAATTTGTTGTTCTACTTATTTATGCATTGACTGGCTGATTCTTGTATGTGCCCTGACTGGAGAACCCAAGACACCTTGGTGTATAAGAACAATGCTCTAATCAACTGAGCTACCTGCCCAGGGTGATCTACACCTTGATTTAAATTAATATACAGCATGTCTTTATAAGGTGACTGTACTATTAAACTGGTTAGACTTGATGGAAAGGCTTATTACCAAAATAAAATTCATAGAATTTTTGTTCATATTTTTAAATGATTTTTTGGCCCTAGCCAGTTTTCAATTCCAGCCAAGGGCATGTACCTCAGTTGTAGGCTAGATGCCTGGCCCAGGTCAGGGCTTGTTCGGGTCTCCCTCTCCAACCCCCTCCCCCCACACCCC